GAAACTGATCTTGCTGCATAAACTTGTTTTGTTCTTGTCAGTCTTTGATGTGACTTCAGGTTTTTTTGGGAAAGGTGATGGCTTAGATCTATCCAGGCTTCTGGAAGTGTTAATTTCCCAAAGCATGCTGATGAGCAAAAGAAGCGTTATGCAACATTAACGGAGCAGGAGGTTAAGTGAGCTGGTTAACTCCATTTAATGTCCTGTAAACACAAAGGAGGTCATCCCTGGAAGCCCACCATTGAGTGGCAGTGTTTCTTATGTGGAGGCCCAGGAATGAATCCCGGGTCAGGTATGACTCACCATTTTATTCGGTGCTTGGTGAGCAGATATAGTTCATCCTGACACAATTTACTGAGGGCACAAATATTGTTAGAGTGTTAAAAATAATGAGGATAGGACCAGGACAGAGTGACCTGCCCCTTTCAGTAAGGTGGTAATTCTCATAAAGCTTCTTGTAAGACTGTTAAGAGCAAACTGTACATCCATGAACAGGAAAAAAATGCCCATGTCTACAGGGAACAACTTCCACTCCCAGAAGGAGGTGGTCTGAAAAAGATGGGATTACAACAGGCAGAAAACTGAACACAGAAGCAGTGGTCCATGCTGCAGCAATGAATCTGAAGTGATGATCCCTGTCTGTGTAAAAACAGAAGTAAGGATGGGAAGCGAGGAAAGTATTAAACCTCTCTCTGTGTCTGAGTAAGTCTCATGCTGGAAAACTGTACAGCGCTTTATGCTCCATATTTTAAAAATAACTTTGAATCAAAGGTGATATGAAGGCTGGAGATCTCAGTAATTTAAAGAGGTCAACCTGTTTAATATATCAAAAAGCAGAACGAGACATGACTTGCTTGCAGTATCACTCCTTTCCCGGAGAAAAGTCTACCAAATATTCTGGCAGAGAATAACAAGAGCCAGTCACTGGAGAGTGATTAATCATAGAAACAAACTACCTAGTGAAGTGCAAGATCCTCTCTCTTCTGGAGTCTTTGAATCACAACCAGAGGCCTGTCTGGAAGACAGTTCCTGGTCTGCAAAATCCTGAGGGCTGTGAGAGCAGATCAGAGGAAGAATTATTATGCAGTTACCTTCAGCAGTTGATACTGGGCTGACTTTAGGTGTAAGCCCTGTGTGCATTAGCCCAGTACAAACTAAAGGGTTAAAAGCCTTCTGTATCATATTGGTATCCAAGAGAGTCATGCCAGCCTCCTTTGTCCTTACAGTGTTTTTGTCTCAGAGTCCGTGTTACACACAGTTGTGAAAAATCATCTCATGAGATGTGACTCTGCTATGTTTGAAGAAGGACTGGTGAAAAAAATGTCTTCAGCATTTTGACAAGTTATTTGGATTCTGTGGTGGTGAAGAAAGGAACAACCTAAAATGAGCCTGTACAGCTCTACAGCTTTAAAGTGGGACAGTGAGCACAGAGGAAAGAAAGTGGATCTATAGCGCAAAGAGAATGGAGGTTTCCTTCTTAGAGATCAGAGCAAGATCAGAAGAGAAGGATGATGCTAGGGGGTGGTTACAGCTAGGATCAGAAATCCCAAACATTCAGAAATAACAACACAGAACGTCTCCATGTCACAAGATTTATCTTAAAATTATGAAATGTCGTACAGACTTGCTTTCATCTGCACTCTTCGCCTCCTACTTTCGGCTCTTTTGGTTACATGAAAATCACATTTCACAGTTTCCCTGTAACCATAAAGATAGGTGTTTGCTTTGTAAGGAAAGCAAAAGCACGGAAGTTACTGACTCCAGGAGGCTGAAATTTAATTTCAACACCCAGCACTCCAATCTAGGGATGAGGCCAAAATTTTGCTAAGTTGTGGAGATGTCACCCATAACTTTCACGCTCATGAGGACGATGACATTCTCATTTGGAGAGTGCAGGATCTGAGTCATTCAAAATACCTTCTGGTCTTTGCCCTTGATGCAGGACAAAAAAGGAGCAGACAAAAACATGGGGAGCCAGCACACAGGACATAGGAACTGGGCCTGAAGTGGAGAAGGAGAGAGCGAGCATCATGTAGCTAGGACACTCAAGCCGCCAAGCTTTATCTCTAACTAATAATGAAAGGCAGCAAGCATGTCAGAGAGTGTGAGAGAAACAGATCAATAGAGATAAAACTGAGATGGAAGGAGCTGGCAACGGGGTGGGGAAGAGAGTAATAAAACACTATAAATCAGCAGGGTTACGTTTGAACCTGATTTGGATGCACCCTGCACTGCTGTAAGTGAAGACAGCACGTGTGAGGCTATGGTAAATCAGGCCTAAGTACAGAAACAGAGAGGGAAAAGCAGGGAGGAGATAGTTCCCTTGTCAATATTGCCTATCACAGGTTACAACCTTACCTGCCTTGCTTCTCTTTTCATTCTGCTGTATGGAGGAGCCCAAATATTGCTGGCTCTGAGAATACAGACTGATAGACTTTCTGCTTCTTTGGGTCATCATGATCTTCCTGAAGAAATGCCTGTTGGTAGAATGTGTCTTGGTCTCATTTTACCTGACTTGAGTATAGGAAATGCTCCTCACTACTTTGTTCATTGAGGACCCAGGAGAGTTTCCAACAATGCCCACAACATGCTGGGTGTGAGGAACTTTCCTAGGAGAGCTCATTGACTGTGCCTATGCTTACTACCAATGGAAGATGATCAGAGAAGTTTCTTTGCTCAGCTTCAGATTTTTGAGGCAAAGGAGACTGTGACATCTCAAAGCTAAGATCATCAGAGCACATAAATGAAAATGTGCCTACAAGAGCAGGGCTGTGGGTTTGGATGCCTTCCCCTCTCAGGGCACGTTTGCTTCTCTGGCCCTGCAGTCAGAGCTGTTTTGCTCCTTATGCCTGGAATTAGTTCGAAGTGATGTCCACCTAGTCTTCGTGGCATGATCATTAACATTAAAAATTCAGTTTTTCACACTGACCATTGCTGTCCACACTGTTCCCTCCTGCTGTCAGCAGCCTCAGTGAGGAGAACAAACACTAAAGGAGCCTTAGGGACTGAAGAGGACAACCCTGAGAAGGAGTAGCAACAATCCATACAGCTGTACAAATGAACTTGGGAGACAATGATACACCTCCTCAAGGCAGCAACGGGTTGTATTTTCTAGCTCCGAAATTGTGTTTGGGGCAGAATTGTACCCCAAAGGAGCCTTCTCCATGATTCAGCCACAGCAGCTGTGTGACAAGAACTAGAGTCAAAGCAAGAGAAGAGAGTTGTTGATACTGGCAAGTAAAAGCTTAACAAACGCAGCCTTTACCCAGATGAAGATTTCAAGATGTTACACTTATTTCAAGATGTTACGCTTACAGAAGTCTGGCAAAGCACAAGTCAACTGCCTTTAATATGTGCTAAACTGATCCAGCTGAAGACCAAATCTCCTGCTGGCAATCACGTGATGGAGTGCAAACTTGCCCTGATAGCTCTACAATTTTAACACGCTAAAACCATGCTACCTGCATAGACTGTATCGGGCTCCCATTAATTTGTTGCCTCTTTTTCTTTCATGGAAAATCACTGTGGATTTCTGAAAGCACCAGCCATGAGGAAATTGGTGATGCTCTGGAAACTCTTGGCCAAACAGCTTAATATGGCTTATTGAAATGCACACTGGCTGCATTCCTCCCAGTCCCCCTCACAACTCACCTCTGCCTACCATGTGATTTGTACAAGATGAGAAGAACTCTGAAAATTTGGGTTTTTTTCCCCAAATGACCCCCACTTTTTATTCTCTCTCACCTGGTACAGGAAACCGTGCCCTCAACAATGACCGCATTGCTGCAGCTCATACACCCACGAAGAGGTACTTAAGGTGCACTATAAACATTTCTATCCTTGTGGAGCGTTTAAACTATCTTTTTATGGCCATACCCTGCCTGCATCAGGGATGCATTTCTTGACAAGTGAGATGGTTAATGATTCAGCAGATAGTAAAGTCATTTTTTTGTAAAAATTAATGCGGTAGAGGAATGTAGGCATGCAGGGATTTAAGAAATGCACAGCTTAAATACATAAGTACAGTTCTTTGCAACATAAGATTTTTTACATTTACATATCCCCAAAACACTGCCCAAAATAGTGAGATCTTAATGGTGTGAAAGAAAAAAGGAGAGTGATGTGTGGGCACACACAAAGTATTCCATGCACCTCTTTTAGTTCTGGTGTGGTGCTTATAGAATAGATCATTGAGATTTGAAAAACACCATGCCATATAGTAGTGCATCTGTTTTCTCAACAGTTATTTCAGCATTAATCATAGAATCACAGAATGGTTTGGGTTGGAAGGGACCTTAAAAATCATCCTGTTCCAACACCCCTGCTGGAGGCAGGGAGGTGTGCTATTACACCACGTTGCTCAGAAGTCCATCAATCCCGGCCTTGAATATTTCCAGGTATATGGATGAAAAGTAAATATTCACCAGACTGGTAAGACCCATAAATACGTGGATATTCATCTGGCACTGATTGTCTTGTTAGGACATATCTCACTATGGCTGAGCGGCTTGGGGGAGTTTTCACAGAGGATGGGTCATGAACAATAAAAGAACGGTGAGCAGACGCTGCTGGTGAGCAGCGCAGGGCATGAAAAAAGTGCAGAACGAAGCTGAAGACTGGCTGGTGCCTGTGACCAGCAGGACCAAGGCTGGCAACCAGCCGGTGGCTGTTGTTTGCCTGGGCAGAGGCTGCGCCCCACGCAGACCGCAGCCTGGGCTGGCCTGGGGACATGGACGCTGCCGTGGCAGGGTGACAAGGGCGGCCGGGAGTGGCCTGGGATGCGCCAGATGGAGGGGACGGCCCCGGGACGGACGAGGCGCCACCGCGGCCCGCAGCGCTCAGCCCCGCCGGCGGGGGGCGCCCTGGCGGCGGGACTGCGCCGCCGCGCTGCGCCCTGCCCGGCCAATGGGTAAGTGGCGGGGGCGGGAAGAGCCGCCGGCTCCGCCAATGGGCGACGGATGCGCGTCACACGCGGAAGCGGCCGCTGTGCGCCGGCGGTGTCGGGCGGGTGCGCGGGGCCGGCCGGGAGCGCCCGGGCCGGGGCTGCGGGGGGCGAGCGAACGGCCGGGCCGGGCCAGGCCGGGCCCCGCCATGGCGGCCGAGGGGAAGGTGACGGGGCAAAGCCAGGAGCAGTTCCTGCTGCTGGCCAAGGCGGCCCGCGGCGCCGCGCTCGCCAGCCTGATCCACCAGGTGCTGGAGGCCCCGGGCATCTACGTGTTCGGGGAGTTGCTGGACATGCCCGCCGTCCGCGAGGTGAGACCCGCCCGGCCCCGCGGCCCCGCCGGGCCCTGCCCGCGGCCCGGCGGCGTCGCCTGACCCTGTGTCCCCGCAGCTGGCCGACAGCGAGTTCTCCCCCGTGTTCCGCCTCCTCACCATCTTCGCCTACGGCACCTATGCGGACTACCTGGGTGAGGCCGGGCACGGGGCGGGGGCCCCGAGCCCCCCGGCCCGGTGGTGGGGATCCTGAGGGGCGGGAAACGCGCCGGAGACCCACGGCGCAGGGGGCCTCCCTCCCCGGACAGCCTCCCCTGCAGCCAGGGCTGTGCCCCCGGCCCGACACACGCCTGACTGTGCTTTGGGCCCCAGACTAGCGGGGTACCTGGCTGTAATTAACGCTGCCATTTGCCGCCTGCCAAAGACGTTTTTGAGGGGCCGGGGGAAAGGCTTGGGTGTCCGTTGGGATGCACATAAATAACGCATGGGACAGCTAGAAAGGCTGAGTTGAGGGTGGCGGGAAGAAAGGCTGCTCAGAAATGGTCTTTTGAGCTGAGAATTGATGGGGGTAGCTTGGCAAGACGAAGCACCACTTCGGGGATTGGTGTGCAGACGTTTTACAGATGCTTCTGTGCAGAACTGGGAAACGAGGCATAAATTCTAATATCCCATTCTTTCCCCTGACAACAGCTGAAGCAGCAAACCTCCCTCCCTTGACAGAGGCCCAGAAGAACAAACTGAGGCACCTGTCAGTCGTCACTCTAGCTGCCAAGATCAAGGTAGTGGCCCTGTTTTTCCTGAGTTCTTCTCCCAGTGGGATTATCTCATGCTAGTTACCATCATGTTTCCACAGTGCATCCCCTACTCAGTGCTGCTGGAGCAGTTACAGCTGAAGAATGTCCGGCAGCTGGAGGACCTGGTGATTGAGGCTGTGTATGCAGATGTGCTTCGAGGGAGCTTGGATCAACGGAACCAACGCCTGGAGGTGGATTACAGCATTGGGAGGGACATCCGGAGGGAGGAGCTTAGCACCATCACCCGCACATTGCAGGAGTGGTGAGGAGGAAGCCCCCAGTCCTAACACCCAAAAAAGGTTGCAGGAGTGGCTGGTGGCTTCCCTGGATCCTTTGTGTGTCACTAAGGGTGGGTGGTATTGGGACGTGACCTACTTGATCCCCTTTCCCATACTCCCAACGGAAAGTAATTTTCCAAAAATTATTTCCCAAATTCCCGTTTGTGTCTAAAGGGGTGATGGAGATACAGCAGCCTTTGCACAGCACTGACTGCTGGCAGGAGGTTTCCTGAGTGCTTATCTGTAGTTCTGAACCCAGCATGGCTTTGTTACCTGTCTCCCTCCCAGATAATAACATAATTCCCTGTGTTAATACGTCAGACTCCTGCCCCTGTATCTTCCCTGCCTGGCATAGCTGCCACCTCCCAGTGTTTTTGGCCTCTGGAGTTGAAATCTGCCGTCTTTGACGTTTCTCTCTGTGCTGTGCCAATTCCCTGGCCCGTTCAGTTGTGAGTCTCCTCTCCAGGTGCCAGGGCTGCGAGGTTGTCCTGTCGGGCATCGAAGAGCAGGTCAGCCGGGCCAACCAGCACAAAGAGCAACAGCTGGCCCTGAAGCAGCAGATCGAGAGTGAGGTGAGTGGGTGCAGCAGGGAGCACCCAGTGCCCCTCGCCTTAAAACAACTCGAACCTGTCATTGTTAGTCTTTGCTGAAGTGAGGCATTGCCTTTTCCCTAGGCCAGAACCCCCAGGGATTTGTGCCTGAAGAAGAGTCCTAAGTCAGCTTAATACTCCTCTGCAGTGCAGGGGCCTGGACAGATGTTGGTTTTTTTGCTTGATGTGAGCTTGCAGCTCTTAGCTCCAGGGCTTCCTTTAGAAACAGATTTTTAAAAAATCCAAAGTGAAACTAAAAACACCTGTAGCCAAAAAACTCCTAGCTTTGGGAAACCCATTAGTTCTTGCATTGCTGCTATTTGCAGGTGGCAAACCTGAAGAAGACCATTAAAGTGACAACAGCAGCTGCTGCAGCAGCCACGTCTCAAGACCCAGAGCAGCACCTCACGGAGCTCAGGGAGCCAGCCCCTGGCACCAACCAGCGCCAGGCGAGCAAGAAAACCTCCAAAGCCAAAGGGTGAGCAGTGTGGCAGACAGAGCATGTATCTGGGGGAACATCAGTGCACTTTTCTGTGTGCACTTAGGAAGGAAGTGAGATGAACCTGAGTGTCCACCTGGAACTTTTNCCAAAACCAAAAAACAAACAAACAAAAAGCTATGAACTATGTAAAAAAGCTATGTAATCTTAGAGAGTGCTGGGGGAACCCAGTGATGTAGGCTGTAGAAGAAATTGCCCCTCACAAACGTGGCAAGCTGTGGAAAGGATGCCATCAAGAAACTCTGGCTGAAGGTGTGGTAGTGGAAAGTACAGAGCATACAGGAAAAAGGTCCACAGAGAACCCAGTTTCCTCTGCCCCATTGCTCACCAAACAAGGGGTTAATAAGCTTTAGAATATCAGAGACATCCCAGAAGACTGGAAGAGAACTGCGCCCTGTGAATATTTGTAAAGAGCAAACAGAAGACCTGAAAAATTCTAGGCAAAGCAACAAAGAGCTGATATGAGATTCTCCAGTTAATGCCAATCAGCCTGGTTTGGAGGAAACTGATCTTGCTGCATAAACTTGTTTTGTTCTTGTCAGTCTTTGATGTGACTTCAGGTTTTTTTGGGAAAGGTGATGGCTTAGATCTATCCAGGCTTCTGGAAGTGTTAATTTCCCAAAGCATGCTGATGAGCAAAAGAAGCGTTATGCAACATTAACGGAGCAGGAGGTTAAGTGAGCTGGTTAACTCCATTTAATGTCCTGTAAACACAAAGGAGGTCATCCCTGGAAGCCCACCATTGAGTGGCAGTGTTTCTTATGTGGAGGCCCAGGAATGAATCCCGGGTCAGGTATGACTCACCATTTTATTCAGTGCTTGGTGAGCAGATATAGTTCATCCTGACACAATTTACTGAGGGCACAAATATTGTTAGAGTGTTAAAAATAATGAGGATAGGACCAGGACAGAGTGACCTGCCCCTTTCAGTAAGGTGGTAATTCTCATAAAGCTTCTTGTAAGACTGTTAAGAGCAAACTGTACATCCATGAACAGGAAAAAAATGCCCATGTCTACAGGGAACAACTTCCACTCCCAGAAGGAGGTGGTCTGAAAAAGATGGGATTACAACAGGCAGAAAACTGAACACAGAAGCAGTGGTCCATGCTGCAGCAATGAATCTGAAGTGATGATCCCTGTCTGTGTAAAAACAGAAGTAAGGATGGGAAGCGAGGAAAGTATTAAACCTCTCTCTGTGTCTGAGTAAGTCTCATGCTGGAAAACTGTACAGCGCTTTATGCTCCATATTTTAAAAATAACTTTGAATCAAAGGTGATATGAAGGCTGGAGATCTCAGTAATTTAAAGAGGTCAACCTGTTTAATATATCAAAAAGCAGAACGAGACATGACTTGCTTGCAGTATCACTCCTTTCCCGGAGAAAAGTCTACCAAATATTCTGGCAGAGAATAACAAGAGCCAGTCACTGGAGAGTGATTAATCATAGAAACAAACTACCTAGTGAAGTGCAAGATCCTCTCTCTTCTGGAGTCTTTGAATCACAACCAGAGGCCTGTCTGGAAGACAGTTCCTGGTCTGCAAAATCCTGAGGGCTGTGAGAGCAGATCAGAGGAAGAATTATTATGCAGTTACCTTCAGCAGTTGATACTGGGCTGACTTTAGGTGTAAGCCCTGTGTGCATTAGCCCAGTACAAACTAAAGGGTTAAAAGCCTTCTGTATCATATTGGTATCCAAGAGAGTCATGCCAGCCTCCTTTGTCCTTACAGTGTTTTTGTCTCAGAGTCCGTGTTACACACAGTTGTGAAAAATCATCTCATGAGATGTGACTCTGCTATGTTTGAAGAAGGACTGGTGAAAAAAATGTCTTCAGCATTTTGACAAGTTATTTGGATTCTGTGGTGGTGAAGAAAGGAACAACCTAAAATGAGCCTGTACAGCTCTACAGCTTTAAAGTGGGACAGTGAGCACAGAGGAAAGAAAGTGGATCTATAGCGCAAAGAGAATGGAGGTTTCCTTCTTAGAGATCAGAGCAAGATCAGAAGAGAAGGATGATGCTAGGGGGTGGTTACAGCTAGGATCAGAAATCCCAAACATTCAGAAATAACAACACAGAACGTCTCCATGTCACAAGATTTATCTTAAAATTATGAAATGTCGTACAGACTTGCTTTCATCTGCACTCTTCGCCTCCTACTTTCGGCTCTTTTGGTTACATGAAAATCACATTTCACAGTTTCCCTGTAACCATAAAGATAGGTGTTTGCTTTGTAAGGAAAGCAAAAGCACGGAAGTTACTGACTCCAGGAGGCTGAAATTTAATTTCAACACCCAGCACTCCAATCTAGGGATGAGGCCAAAATTTTGCTAAGTTGTGGAGATGTCACCCATAACTTTCACGCTCATGAGGACGATGACATTCTCATTTGGAGAGTGCAGGATCTGAGTCATTCAAAATACCTTCTGGTCTTTGCCCTTGATGCAGGACAAAAAAGGAGCAGACAAAAACATGGGGAGCCAGCACACAGGACATAGGAACTGGGCCTGAAGTGGAGAAGGAGAGAGCGAGCATCATGTAGCTAGGACACTCAAGCCGCCAAGCTTTATCTCTAACTAATAATGAAAGGCAGCAAGCATGTCAGAGAGTGTGAGAGAAACAGATCAATAGAGATAAAACTGAGATGGAAGGAGCTGGCAACGGGGTGGGGAAGAGAGTAATAAAACACTATAAATCAGCAGGGTTACGTTTGAACCTGATTTGGATGCACCCTGCACTGCTGTAAGTGAAGACAGCACGTGTGAGGCTATGGTAAATCAGGCCTAAGTACAGAAACAGAGAGGGAAAAGCAGGGAGGAGATAGTTCCCTTGTCAATATTGCCTATCACAGGTTACAACCTTACCTGCCTTGCTTCTCTTTTCATTCTGCTGTATGGAGGAGCCCAAATATTGCTGGCTCTGAGAATACAGACTGATAGACTTTACTCCTTCTTTGGGTCATCATGATCTTCCTGAAGAAATGCCTGTTGGTAGAATGTGTCTTGGTCTCATTTTACCTGACTTGAGTATAGGAAATGCTCCTCACTACTTTGTTCATTGAGGACCCAGGAGAGTTTCCAACAATGCCCACAACATGCTGGGTGTGAGGAACTTTCCTAGGAGAGCTCATTGACTGTGCCTATGCTTACTACCAATGGAAGATGATCAGAGAAGTTTCTTTGCTCAGCTTCAGATTTTTGAGGCAAAGGAGACTGTGACATCTCAAAGCTAAGATCATCAGAGCACATAAATGAAAATGTGCCTACAAGAGCAGGGCTGTGGGTTTGGATGCCTTCCCCTCTCAGGGCACGTTTGCTTCTCTGGCCCTGCAGTCAGAGCTGTTTTGCTCCTTATGCCTGGAATTAGTTCGAAGTGATGTCCACCTAGTCTTCGTGGCATGATCATTAACATTAAAAATTCAGTTTTTCACACTGACCATTGCTGTCCACACTGTTCCCTCCTGCTGTCAGCAGCCTCAGTGAGGAGAACAAACACTAAAGGAGCCTTAGGGACTGAAGAGGACAACCCTGAGAAGGAGTAGCAACAATCCATACAGCTGTACAAATGAACTTGGGAGACAATGATACACCTCCTCAAGGCAGCAACGGGTTGTATTTTCTAGCTCCGAAATTGTGTTTGGGGCAGAATTGTACCCCAAAGGAGCCTTCTCCATGATTCAGCCACAGCAGCTGTGTGACAAGAACTAGAGTCAAAGCAAGAGAAGAGAGTTGTTGATACTGGCAAGTAAAAGCTTAACAAACGCAGCCTTTACCCAGATGAAGATTTCAAGATGTTACACTTATTTCAAGATGTTACGCTTACAGAAGTCTGGCAAAGCACAAGTCAACTGCCTTTAATATGTGCTAAACTGATCCAGCTGAAGACCAAATCTCCTGCTGGCAATCACGTGATGGAGTGCAAACTTGCCCTGATAGCTCTACAATTTTAACACGCTAAAACCATGCTACCTGCATAGACTGTATCGGGCTCCCATTAATTTGTTGCCTCTTTTTCTTTCATGGAAAATCACTGTGGATTTCTGAAAGCACCAGCCATGAGGAAATTGGTGATGCTCTGGAAACTCTTGGCCAAACAGCTTAATATGGCTTATTGAAATGCACACTGGCTGCATTCCTCCCAGTCCCCCTCACAACTCACCTCTGCCTACCATGTGATTTGTACAAGATGAGAAGAACTCTGAAAATTTGGGTTTTTTTCCCCAAATGACCCCCACTTTTTATTCTCTCTCACCTGGTACAGGAAACCGTGCCCTCAACAATGACCGCATTGCTGCAGCTCATACACCCACGAAGAGGTACTTAAGGTGCACTATAAACATTTCTATCCTTGTGGAGCGTTTAAACTATCTTTTTATGGCCATACCCTGCCTGCATCAGGGATGCATTTCTTGACAAGTGAGATGGTTAATGATTCAGCAGATAGTAAAGTCATTTTTTTGTAAAAATTAATGCGGTAGAGGAATGTAGGCATGCAGGGATTTAAGAAATGCACAGCTTAAATACATAAGTACAGTTCTTTGCAACATAAGATTTTTTACATTTACATATCCCCAAAACACTGCCCAAAATAGTGAGATCTTAATGGTGTGAAAGAAAAAAGGAGAGTGATGTGTGGGCACACACAAAGTATTCCATGCACCTCTTTTAGTTCTGGTGTGGTGCTTATAGAATAGATCATTGAGATTTGAAAAACACCATGCCATATAGTAGTGCATCTGTTTTCTCAACAGTTATTTCAGCATTAATCATAGAATCACAGAATGGTTTGGGTTGGAAGGGACCTTAAAAATCATCCTGTTCCAACACCCCTGCTGGAGGCAGGGAGGTGTGCTATTACACCACGTTGCTCAGAAGTCCATCAATCCCGGCCTTGAATATTTCCAGGTATATGGATGAAAAGTAAATATTCACCAGACTGGTAAGACCCATAAATACGTGGATATTCATCTGGCACTGATTGTCTTGTTAGGACGTATCTCACTATGGCTGAGCGGCTTGGGGGAGTTTTCACAGAGGATGGGTCATGAACAATAAAAGAACGGTGAGCAGACGCTGCTGGTGAGCAGCGCAGGGCATGAAAAAAGTGCAGAACGAAGCTGAAGACTGGCTGGTGCCTGTGACCAGCAGGACCAAGGCTGGCAACCAGCCGGTGGCTGTTGTTTGCCTGGGCAGAGGCTGCGCCCCACGCAGACCGCAGCCTGGGCTGGCCTGGGGACATGGACGCTGCCGTGGCAGGGTGACAAGGGCGGCCGGGAGTGGCCTGGGATGCGCCAGATGGAGGGGACGGCCCCGGGACGGACGAGGCGCCACCGCGGCCCGCAGCGCTCAGCCCCGCCGGCGGGGGGCGCCCTGGCGGCGGGACTGCGCCGCCGCGCTGCGCCCTGCCCGGCCAATGGGGAAGTGGCGGGGGCGGGAAGAGCCGCCGGCTCCGCCAATGGGCGACGGATGCGCGTCACACGCGGAAGCGGCCGCTGTGCGCCGGCGGTGTCGGGCGGGTGCGCGGGGCCGGCCGGGAGCGCCCGGGCCGGGGCTGCGGGGGGCGAGCGAACGGCCGGGCCGGGCCAGGCCGGGCCCCGCCATGGCGGCCGAAGGGAAGGTGACGGGGCAAAGCCAGGAGCAGTTCCTGCTGCTGGCCAAGGCGGCCCGCGGCGCCGCGCTCGCCAGCCTGATCCACCAGGTGCTGGAGGCCCCGGGCATCTACGTGTTCGGGGAGTTGCTGGACATGCCCGCCGTCCGCGAGGTGAGACCCGCCCGGCCCCGCGGCCCCGCCGGGCCCTGCCCGCGGCCCGGCGGCGTCGCCTGACCCTGTGTCCCCGCAGCTGGCCGACAGCGAGTTCTCCCCCGTGTTCCGCCTCCTCACCATCTTCGCCTACGGCACCTATGCGGACTACCTGGGTGAGGCCGGGCACGGGGCGGGGGCCCCGAGCCCCCCGGCCCGGTGGTGGGGATCCTGAGGGGCGGGAAACGCGCCGGAGACCCACGGCGCAGGGGGCCTCCCTCCCCGGACAGCCTCCCCTGCAGCCAGGGCTGTGCCCCCGGCCCGACACACGCCTGACTGTGCTTTGGGCCCCAGACTAGCGGGGTACCTGGCTGTAATTAACGCTGCCATTTGCCGCCTGCCAAAGACGTTTTTGAGGGGCCGGGGGAAAGGCTTGGGTGTCCGTTGGGATGCACATAAATAACGCATGGGACAGCTAGAAAGGCTGAGTTGAGGGTGGCGGGAAGAAAGGCTGCTCAGAAATGGTCTTTTGAGCTGAGAATTGATGGGGGTAGCTTGGCAAGACGAAGCACCACTTCGGGGATTGGTGTGCAGACGTTTTAAGAGACAGGCGTGGTACAGATGCTTCTGTGCAGAACTGGGAAACGAGGCATAAATTCTAATATCCCATTCTTTCCCCTGACAACAGCTGAAGCAGCAAACCTCCCTCCCTTGACAGAGGCCCAGAAGAACAAACTGAGGCACCTGTCAGTCGTCACTCTAGCTGCCAAGATCAAGGTAGTGGCCCTGTTTTTCCTGAGTTCTTCTCCCAGTGGGATTATCTCATGCTAGTTACCATCATGTTTCCACAGTGCATCCCCTACTCAGTGCTGCTGGAGCAGTTACAGCTGAAGAATGTCCGGCAGCTGGAGGACCTGGTGATTGAGGCTGTGTATGCAGATGTGCTTCGAGGGAGCTTGGATCAACGGAACCAACGCCTGGAGGTGGATTACAGCATTGGGAGGGACATCCGGAGGGAGGAGCTTAGCACCATCACCCGCACATTGCAGGAGTGGTGAGGAGGAAGCCCCCAGTCCTAACACCCAAAAAAGGTTGCAGGAGTGGCTGGTGGCTTCCCTGGATCCTTTGTGTGTCACTAAGGGTGGGTGGTATTGGGACGTGACCTACTTGATCCCCTTTCCCATACTCCCAACGGAAAGTAATTTTCCAAAAATTATTTCCCAAATTCCCGTTTGTGTCTAAAGGGGTGATGGAGATACAGCAGCCTTTGCACAGCACTGACTGCTGGCAGGAGGTTTCCTGAGTGCTTATCTGTAGTTCTGAACCCAGCATGGCTTTGTTACCTGTCTCCCTCCCAGATAATAACATAATTCCCTGTGTTAATACGTCAGACTCCTGCCCCTGTATCTTCCCTGCCTGGCATAGCTGCCACCTCCCAGTGTTTTTGGCCTCTGGAGTTGAAATCTGCCGTCTTTGACGTTTCTCTCTGTGCTGTGCCAATTCCCTGGCCCGTTCAGTTGTGAGTCTCCTCTCCAGGTGCCAGGGCTGCGAGGTTGTCCTGTCGGGCATCGAAGAGCAGGTCAGCCGGGCCAACCAGCACAAAGAGCAACAGCTGGCCCTGAAGCAGCAGATCGAGAGTGAGGTGAGTGGGTGCAGCAGGGAGCACCCAGTGCCCCTCGCCTTAAAACAACTCGAACCTGTCATTGTTAGTCTTTGCTGAAGTGAGGCATTGCCTTTTCCCTAGGCCAGAACCCCCAGGGATTTGTGCCTGAAGGAGAGTCCTAAGTCAGCTTAATACTCCTCTGCAGTGCAGGGGCCTGGACAGATGTTGGTTTTTTTGCTTGATGTGAGCTTGCAGCTCTTAGCTCCAGGGCTTCCTTTAGAAACAGATTTTTAAAAAATCCAAAGTGAAACTAAAAACACCTGTAGCCAAAAAACTCCTAGCTTTGGGAAACCCATTAGTTCTTGCATTGCTGCTATTTGCAGGTGGCAAACCTGAAGAAGACCATTAAAGTGACAACAGCAGCTGCTGCAGCAGCCACGTCTCAAGACCCAGAGCAGCACCTCACGGAGCTCAGGGAGCCAGCCCCTGGCACCAACCAGCGCCAGGCGAGCAAGAAAACCTCCAAAGCCAAAGGGTGAGCAGTGTGGCAGACAGAGCATGTATCTGGGGGAACATCAGTGCACTTTTCTGTGTGCACTTAGGAAGGAAGTGAGATGAACCTGAGTGTCCACCTGGAACTTTTCTTTTTCTTTTTTTTTCCCCTGTGCCCACAGGCTTCGGAGCAGCGCGAAGATTTGGTCTAAATCAAACTAGGTGGATCTCCCTTCACAACTGGGAGGGTGAGAGGCAGAGGTTTGGGGGTTGGAGGGGTAGCAGCGGTCCCAAGTGTGATGCTTCTGAACTCTTCTCTGAGATCCATTTTGGCAACTAACTCTCCTGCATGTTTGTTCTCTTTCCTGTCTTCCTTACCGACGTTCCAGGCAGTGTCTCCCTCCTTTTCATCGCAGCATTTCACACTCTGAGCTTCAGGTTGTACGCGTTGCTGTTTCCCCAACCGTTCAAGCCCCCAGTGCCACGGCCACGTGTTTCTCTCTTTCTCTCTCCCTGTCTTTTGACAGGTCAATTTCAGGAGCCATAAAGGTGTGACAGTCACCTTGGCACCCCCAGGGCATCACAAAAGCTTGGAAAGAGGGTGCTGGTGCTCAGCAGTCGTTTTGGCTCTATGAGACCCCTGGGATACTTTGCTCCAGGACACCGTCTTTGATTGTTTAATCTTTGTTTTGCTAGGTGGGAGGGTAGTTTTTGAAGGGATTCTTTTAAAAAATATATAAATATATTATAAATATATATAAACCAATAAAAATATAGATCTATGGACATATCTGTACAAACCTGTGCTCCTGTGGGTAGTAGCATCTCTTTGCCTCATACATTGATTCTGGAGGCTCCAAAATAAGCTGTGATATTAAGAGCCTTTATCCCATTTTGGGGTGGAATATCCTCAAAATACCAGGTTCTCTTTTTAAAGGTAGTGCCACAGTATCTCTATCGGGATGAGAGTCCATAAAACAGAAATTAATCATAAAGTTTATTTAAAGTGTTTCTTATGTGGTTGATTTTCCTCTAGACTCTTCAAAAGGTGATTTTCAGGTAGTCTCAGAGAAGGGTGCAGAGACTGAGTCCTTATCTGTGTCAATACTGTGTGTCCTATGATCCTGGACAGAAAGGGAAGTGGTGTGGGGACTTGCCTGTCAGGTGAAGGCAGCAGTCAATGCCCACATGTGTGAGTTCTCACAGGATAGATGCTGCACAAGCTGTTCTCGGGTGGTGGTGGTGGTGTCTGGTTGGAAGAAAAATCCAAATCAGTGAGTCTTGTGAGATGCCCAGGAAAAAAGCTAACTCCGATTCTTCAAAGGATGCCTCCTCGAGGCTGGCTTGGAGCCGAGTCAGAAAGATGTCAGTGTCACACTGCCTCTCCACTACATGTAGCTGATGTAAATGTAAATTGACACCATGACTCCCACCCCCGCTTGGTTCCGTGCCTTGTGCCAAGACTAAAATTTGATTCCCTGAACCTGTGTTTCTGTGTGTGAGCAAACCACAGAAAAAATAATCCAGTGAAGGAAATCTGGGAGCTTTGTCTCTGGGGCCTTGTTGGGTTCACTGGCTAGGGTGGATTTTCTCCTGGGTCAGCTCCCTTTGCAGACAGGTGAGAGAGTTGGAGCCGAGGCAAAATAGGTGTGAGCAAGTCTTGTGAAGGGAGTGGGGAGGGGAGTGAGTCTGTGCCTATTTTGGTGGTAACAAGGTGCCATCTCGGATCTCAAACCCCACAAAATGCAGGTTTAATGCCCTGTCATTGCTTTGTTAATTCCAGGCTGCTGTAACACAGTGCTGGCAGTCAGTAAGAAAGCCCTGTCACCCGAACCCTTGAACTAAAACTTCCAAGCAGCTTTGTTTGTTCCTCTGTGTGTGGTCACAGGGCTGGGCATACCAGCTGGCTCTGTTGGGAACAGGGATATGCCAGCTGTCCTGGGGTGACAGCTCTCACTGGCTGGGGTCTCCCAAGAGCTCAAGCAGCCCCACACCTTGCCCCCTTCTGTTGCATGAGGCATCGAGCACCTTGGCTGTAGTTGTCTGGCGCAGAAGTGCCAAATAGGAGAGTTTTGGTATGAAGTTGTCCAGATGGGAGACAAAAATCTGGCTGCTGGAGCACGAGGGGATAGTGGAGCCAGGATTGTGTACACCCCACCTAGAGAGACTTGACGAATTTGCAGCCATGAGGAGCCTACCTGATGAATCCTGTTCTCTATAAGTTGTTGGGAGGGATTGTGACAAAGCTTCCAGCTTTTGTTTATAAACCACCTGAGCCTTCCTCCTGCGTCACATCACATCACCTTCATCTGTCTCTGTCAGGGAGGAGAGGCACTGCGCTTGCGATTGTCTGCGAGAAACAATAACGTCCATGTGTATCAGATCTTCAGCTCCCTGGGAAGGGCTAGTCTGGGACCGAGGTGCCAACAGGGGAGGAGATATCTGTCAAGCACCTGCCAGATGTCTGGCACCTCACACCCTTTGAAAGATTTCCTGCTTGCAAAGCCATTGGGGTGTGATGAGAAAGACAGACTGAGGAGAATGAGCTTGAGATAGAGCTGAGCAGCCGGAGAAAGCACGTGTCCTAACAGCCACTGGCTGACGTCCAGTGGGAGCTGGGCTGGACCAGTGTCACTCCAGGGAGAGCTGAAGTTACCAGTAATGGACAAGGATATTTGTGTCCCACAAGAACCTGCTGCTTAGGAAGAGCAGCTGTAACAGGTAGTCACAGCTACCTGAGTGTCCTGTTGCCCTGAGTGTCTCATCTCCTCTCTGGTCTGTTGGGCTTTGCTGTCTTTAACCAAACTGTGGCTGTTAGACACAAAGGGATTGTTTCAATGCCATGAACCCACAGTTTAAATCCAGGCTGCAGATCCCAGGAGTGGAGCTGGAAGCCAGCACTGAGAGTTCCAGGCTGGCTGTGTGTGACAGCACTCGCGTGATGCCCTGTGCAGCAAAGGTGAGGCAGAGCAGTGCCTGAACTTTGTGCCACACACTGCCAGCAGCCTTGGAAGCACGAATTCCCCATACGGGTGACACCAGCCAGTGTGTGGACCAGTGCGGGTCTGGGGGGGGCTTGCCACTCCAGCCCCAGGCTGTGCTGAAGCCCCAGGCTCGCATCCTCACAGCTCAGCCACAACTGGCACAAGTCCGGTTGTGTCCTCCTGCCGTAACTGTGTTAGGTGACATCCGGCTCACCCCGATCTCCCAGGGTCAGCTCATCCCTCTGGGAGCAGCATTTGCCAAGCACAGCCATATACAGGCTTTGCTCCCCCTTCCCATTTGCCTATCTCTCAAGGCTGGCTGTGTTATGGATTTTAGGAGAGTTTGGGATTAAACACAGCTCTGAAAGTCTTCCATTTTGTTTACTTTTCAAAGGGAGCAAGCACCTTTTAAGACCTCCATTAAGAATAGGAAAGCTGGAGGTAGCACATAAAATTACTTCAGACCTTTGGTAGGACTGAAAAATAAATGAGAAGGTTGCAGTGCAGAATGAAAGTATTGCTGCAAATTGCCTTGCTGGATGGCAAACAGAGGGCAGGAGCATAGGTTTGCCTTTGCCCTTCACCTGAAAACCACGCTTTTTATTTTTCTGCTCACTTCAGCCGTGACTTGAATTCAATTGGAGAAGATGTGAAGATTAATTAATTAGTTAACATTTATAAATCACTTTGAAGATGGCAAGAGCGAGGTAAGTACTGAGCATTATTATAAGTTTTCATTTTTAAAAGTTTTTATGTTTTAACCCATTTTTTTCCAAAGAAAAGACTGAAAAAGCAGACTGAGTAGAGAACAGAAATACCTGGACACATTAGGCCCTGCAAAGGAACCAGGTTTAGGAGGCTCTAGAAGAGAGGGTACAGAGAAATGTCCATCCCAAAATGAGGAGCAGGAGATCTGCCATCCCTAGCACAGAAAGTCTAACAGCTCTTGTGCAGTGATTCATTGCAACCCCCTATTTGGGTATCTACATGGGACTTTCACATGGGTTCCTAAAAGGGAGGAGGTAGGACATGACTTGAATTGCTGTATCACTGATGTCCAGCTTTTGCCAGCCACCTCTAGCTGCCCTGTGCCAAGAGGTAACCAGGTACTGGAGTTAATGACAGTAATTATTGCATTCTTGGGGCACAATTTCTTCTGGGGAGCTTGCTGCTCCCCTTCTTGAAGGTGGTGAAGGTGCTGGGCAGCTGCTGTCAGCAGCTTGGCCTCTGCTGCTGTGCCTATCCGTACCTGGTGAGTGGGGAGAAGTGTCACAGCCAGGCAGATGCCGTGCAGGACTTCTGTAAGGTTCTCCCCATCCTTCACTGCTGTGTGCTGAGGTACCTCTGGAGTCAGAGGTGGTCTTTGTGTACTCAAAAGGAATCAATATTTTATTTACTGAGGCTGCCTTTGCTTCTGATCTCCAAAGGAGACCTCTGGCAGGGTGGTTTGTTTCCTGATGAATGGATGGGCTGGTGTGTACCCAAGTGCTGTTACACATTACCAAGTCTCCTTTGTGCCAGTGACACTGGCTGTGGGAACATCTCTGGACAGCAGGTTTCCTCAGGCCTGTCTGGGGGGAGCAGCCCTGCCTCTGCCGAGCAGCAGGACATGTGCCCACCACCTCCATCCTCTTGTGAGCTCCCGGTGCCAGCTGAGAAGTGGTGCTGCAGGGGCCGTGGCGATGCCAGCCAGACTGCTTCTGCTGGTCTGCAGGGTGATCATGCATCTGTGGTCCCCCAGAGCTCCACGCAGGGATGCCTTGGCACTGCACCACCAGGGCAGTGGCTCAGTGCTCCTCTGAAGGCCCCTTGTGCCAGGTGAGTGCCCACAGTCTGGTCTGTTGGGAGAGCTGGCACAGATGATGTGTGTCCCCCTGTGCTGCTGTACTTTTGCACAAAGACCCCCTGACAAGAGCAGCCACTGAGGGCTGTGCCTGCTGCTTGCCACAGCTGGACCAGCCTTCCTGGGATGAGGCCATGGCTCTGCAGGATTCTGATGCAGACCTAGGTAGGGTAGACAGAAGAATCTCACAGTTCATGTCAGCTGCTGCAAATACATCTCTCAGATCTCTGACATCCTTCTTGTCTCCTTTGTGTGCCCTGGAATAGCTGCTCATTTTCCTTCTGTGACCCCTTTCCCTTTTTGTCATCCTCTCCATGGGAGTCTGTCTGTGTTCCCACCTACAGGGCTCTTCTTTCCTCATCTCTTTTCCTAGTACTAGTCATTGCTTAGCTGAAATACTCATAAAAACCACCTGTTTTATCTACTGGTTCCACAGGCACCCCATCTTTTGGGTGTTTTTCTCTCATCTGCAGTTTTCCAGGAACATCCCTCTTGGTCCAGTGTGGAACTAGGCTGGACTATTGTCTCCTTCCTCTGCTGGTGGCAGGCTCTTCTCCTGCCAAGGAAAGGAGTTGATTTGCAAAAATTCTTTGTGCAGTGTGCAATTATATTCCTGTTGTGATGAATTCAATAGGCAGCAAAATGTCAGCTGGATTTGAGAGCTGTGACCCCTTTACAGTAACAGGAATGTTCAGAATTCCTGTGGCAGTTGTGCACGTATTAAAAGCAATCCTGTACCCTCCTATTCTGAGGACAGTAAAGCCCCAGTCCCTTCAGATCAGGCGAAAATGTTTCTGGGGAGGCTTAGCCTGTATCTGCCTCTGAAGCATTTAGCACTGGTTTCAGGATGTGGGAAGATGGATGATCTCTGGTGGAGCAAAAGCAAGGAGGCTTCTGGTGACCCAGTGTGATCTCTTACCACTATGGTCTCACAATCCCTTGCAAAGTCTTCTCAGGTGCTAACCCAAAACTGGTTAATTTTATTGTCCCCACTAGTCCCCTTGGCAGGCTGCCCCAGCACCCAACTGCTGTAGTGGTCAAAGTTTTTTAATTTCCAGCTTAAATGAATTCACAGCTAGTTTATATTCTCTTGTGCCTGTGCCAGCGTGGCTCTAGCTGAAGCTGTACTTCCTCTCTGGTGTTTATTTCCCTTGAGTACAGACTTCACTTTGCTTAACTAACCAAATCAGCCCCCTTGTGCACTCTGAGCCCTCCATACTCTCTCTCTTACTTGCTCTTCAAATAGAGTGCAAAAGTGTTCTCTTACCTGCACTTCAAATTAAGCTTTCTTGGCTAGAAATGAGCACAGTTCTCTTCCACAGGTGAAGTCTGATCAGGATCTCTCCCAGACACAATTACACACACCTGTATCTACCAGAAATGCCACTAGATTGCATGTCTTCTCCTCTGGTGATCCAGAGTACTTCTTCTCTGATGGTTATAATCAAAGAAGCTCCAGTTTATAGCTAAAATCTTGATTTTAGGTCCTATGCTCCTTTTCCCTTTCACTTTGTGCTACAAACTTTAGCCCTTTTACTGATACCTTCAAGGCTACCTATGTCCTGTGTGATACCCTCATCCAATTTGGCAATGTTGCTGGGTTTTATTTATTTACTCAAGCATTTATTATTTTGCAATCTTAGTTCTCCTTTCCTGTCATTAGTGAGGGATGGAAAGTGTGAGGCTAGTGTCTAATCTTCCATCTTACCTCTGGACATGACATCACCAGCAGTTGGAGATAGGTAGTGTCTGTTCTATTTCCCTTCCTTTTATTAGCTTTCCCCCCCATGCTAAGTTTGTATTAAGTGCCCTCAGGATTTAAAAAGCCAACTAGATGTAAGGAGATAGTGAAAGTAATAATAACCAAAGTGAAGTTTCCCCATGGGAACGGTTTTTGAAGTGTTGTCTTTAAAAAGGAAAATTCCCAGGAGGGAAAAAAATCCCAGTTAAATTTAAGACAGGGCTGAAAAATAAAATTAAGTCCATTTTTTAGAGTGTTATGAAAAGTAAAAAAAAAATATTGCAAATCAAGCAAGTCAATTTTAAGTTATACACTGGATTGAGGTCTATTTAAAAACCTTTTGTTCTCCAGCACTGGAGCCAGTGCCTGCAGGATTTTACACTCCAGCCTCATGGCTGTGCCCGTTTGTTTCCCAAATAAACCATTGTGCCCAGAGAGCTCTGTTTCCTGCAGCTCTTTGTGGTCCCACCTGCTTTGAAGCCCTCGTCAAGTCAAAAGGTCTCTTCTTGCCTTTCCCACCTTTTCCTTCAGCCTAGCCCTGTGCCAGTCTGTTTCCCTCTCCTACTCACAGTTTTTTGAAGCCCAAAGGGACCGGTATAATCACATCACTTGGCTTCTCAAGTGACCGAGAACTCCCTCGCCCTGTTCCTGTGCCCACTCCCCAAATTCTCCCTGGGACACCCCATGGGGTTTGGAGTAGGGAGAGCTGGGAAACGGAGGTGTGCTCTACTGCTCTCACACAAGGTCTGCATGCATTCCCAGTTCCATTGTGAGGTCGCTGCAGGTTTTCTGCTGGGCTCAAGAGCCCTCTACTGTCAGAAGCCTCCTTCCCGTTTAAGTCACGCCAGCCTGTGCTCCAGTGGAGTGATCTCAGATACAGGAGTTTTGAGTTCATGTTAGCCTGTAGTGCTAGGCAGTGTTTCCAGGCTTCCAGTCATCCTTGATTCACCCTTCTTGAGTCTTCTTTGATTTCCTTTTTAGTGTCCAATACTCAGACTTCCCACAACTGATTCACTACCCTGATAAACCAATTTGATCAGAGGGATGGAGCAGCTCTCCTACAAAGAAAGGCTGAGAAAATTAAAGAAAATTTGGATTGTGTCCCATCCCTGGCAGTGTTCAAGGCCAGCCTGGATGAGCTCTGAGCAACCTAATCTAGTGGAAGGTGTCCCCTGCCCATGGCAGGGAGGTTGGAACTGGATGATCTTTAAGGTCCCCTCCAACCCAAACCATTCTGTGATTCTTCAAAGGGGAGATTTTTTACCTCTGTTCTTGATGAACACATGCTAATGCATCCCAGTGTAACCCATCTGCACAGAGGAAGAATTATGCAAGTACCATTCATTTCCTTGGTTGTCTTCCAATTCCAATTCCTTTTGGAGTTCTCCATCTTGAAAGAGCACAGACTATGTTTATGTCCCTGGGTGAATGTCTTTTCTGCATTCAGTGCAGCCAAAAATACCTACTGTTTATAAATAAACACACTGATAGTTACTGACTGTTCAGTACATCTCATCTTTTTCCAACATTTATTACTTTCATTGTTCTTTGGATCCTCTGAAAGCTTCATCAGCACTGGTTTAATACCTTCTTTCAGATCATTAATCAAGTTACTAATGAGCATTAGTTTCAGAACAACATCCTACTGGAAATAATTTCATATTCTACAGTCTCTTTTCCCCCTCATTACTTGAAATCTATCAGTGAACTAAAATTTATAATATTGGCCCTTTTGTTGTTTCAATAATTACTAATTTATTTTACATCAGAACAGTCTTGTGTGGCCAGATAAAATGCCTTGTGCTGTTGTAACATCTGACTCTGGGTTGCTGTAGTGCCTTTGTTAATGCAACCCAGAATTTAATCAGAAATTATCACAGTTGTTCGACAGGAACAATTTTGAGAAGTGAGATCACATACTATAAACACTGAGATACAAATATTTATTTTTAAATTTTATGCATTTTGCATCTCTTATCTTGATTTAATGTCAGTTTACCTGGTTTACAGGTGTGGATATAGCCTAATTTTTTATTTACGAGTATTGGCACCAGGTTAACTTTCCCAGACTTCTTTCTCCCCAGCATTCTACAATTGCCCCAGTATTTTACAATACTTCAAAAAGTACGGTGAAAGATGCACACACCTTCAGGGCCACCCACAAAAACCTCTAAGGACAAAGTTCCCACTAGCCATAATGGGTTTGATTTTCATGATATATTTTCAATTATGGAAAACTGAATATATAACAAACAAAACTACCCCAGTTTCTGGTTTATTTGTGTGTAGCTGGTGCATTCTCACCCAAGGTTATACTCTCTCCACCTCATTCTACCCACCTCCCCTCTCCTCTGTCTCTTTAAAGGGTGTCAGGCCCCTCTGTCTCACTTCAGGTGCCTTACTTGCTCCTTAGGAAGGTACTTAGTAGTACCACTGAACTGCACTGATTTGGTGCTTCAGTTTATCCAATATGAAGGTGACAGCTATGGGAGAAGGAGCAAGAAGGGATTTTGTCTCCCTCGGATGGATAAGGATGACTTGGAACCATGCCCTGCCCATCTGAAATAAATACTGTTTGATTTTCATGTTGAGAACATCCAGCCTTCTCTTTCTCCATCTTGCTGGCACAGCTGTCAGAGACATTTCAGAAATGGACAAGTTTCATCCTAGCCTTTCCCATGCCCTGATACAGGAGGTATATTGCTTTTAAAGGAAACCATTTCACTTGAAACTGTAACTAATAGGAAAAAATTAACCTCAGGTAGGAGTGTTCCCTTCTTTGGAAAAAACCCTCCTGCTTTCTGAAGTCAGAAGTTCAAGTACCATGTCAGCCTGGGACAAGCAAAAGGGTTGCCCTCTCAATTTACTTCCCCTACTTCCTGGTTTGGGATCTCTAAAACTCTCTCCTGGGCTCCTGTCTTAACACAAAGTTCTCCTCTCACTGCCCTTCTTTTTCCCTGTTCCTATATCACCAATGCCTTGCTGCCCCTGGAGAAGGCTGAGACCTCGGGAATGACTGTAGAGCAGTTAGCAAGGCTCAGGCAGCCAGGTCAATCACCCTCCCACTGCACAGTAGAAGACCATGCAAGGGTCCTACCTAAATCCATAAGCAGGACAGCACCCAACAGGGAGCAAAGACTGAATCCAGGTAAAAGGATTTGGGATTAGACCAAGATTAGGAAATCCACGCCCAAAGAGGAATGGATCCTCACGATCAAAGGTCACTGTTAATCCCCACCACCAACACCTTCCTCCCTGTTCTCCATCTCAGACATTGCCTCAAAACCTGGCCAGGACCAGGCAGCTGATTACTGCCACCATCTCCATGCAGTGCTCACCTTTCTGAGCTCAGCTGCTTCTTCAATGGATCAAAGCACCAAGTGCCACATCTTGCACTGGGGCAAGATGCAGAGGGCTGCTGCTGTTGCAGTCCCTTCTTTCACAGTCTGGCAACTCAAAGATGACTTCCACAAAACCTCTCCCAAGCCCCGACTTTTTCTGTGTTGCTCCTCCTTCAGCCTTGCTCTCTTCAGGGCTTGCCTTGACTATGACACCTCCAGAAAATCACTCCACTGCCAGGGGCAGCCAGCTGCTCTCTTTGAAGTCCCTTCCAAACCTAACTATTCTATGACTCCTACTGGGGTTTGCCATGGGACAAAACAGCACAGGGAAGTGGGGACAGAGCTTGCCACCAGCCACGGCTCTGTTCTGCACTTCCTTGAAGGGTGGAACACATGCAAACTCTGCCCTGAGCTTCCAGAGGGTGGATGCTGCATCCTTTTTTCAGGGCAGGACAGTCAGTCCCCAGCAAGGTGTGTCTCTCTGTTAGTGCCCACACGTACAGCAGAATGATACACCGCAAGATCCCAGCACACCACTTCCAAGTGTAAGTCATGCATTGATTTTCTGCCTTCTGTTCCAAATAGACTGATGAAAAAGTTTGTGTAAGGGTGTGTGCCAGAGCATGAAACGGGCCAAGAATCCAGGAGATCTTCCCTGGTCCTATATTCCTAATGCCTCTCAATTTTCACCTAATACTGAACAAGTTAAGAAAAGGTCATTCATAATGTCAGCCATGGCTGCAATGATATAATAAGAAAATAATGGAAGTATTCCCTTTCTGTGCAGGAATCCCAGAGGCCTAATTCAGGGCTGCACAGCTGACCAGGCAGCAAGAAAGACCAACCAATTTCCCTTGAGTGCACAGCAAAACTACAGCAATTAGAGAGAATTTTTTGCAAATGGTGAGTTCTTGGGTCTTCTTTCACAATGTTTTCATGTTGACCATCATCTCGCTCTGTGACTACATGGGAAGGCTTATTAGGCTATTTTCTATAAGAAAACAAAGCCTTAGAATCTAACACCAAGCTTCTCAGCAATTTTCCAAGGATGTGAAAGAGGTTACTTAATTCCATAGCAGGCACAATTAGGTCAGCTGAAGGTAAAGACTGATCCACCAATTCTTTACAGTTTGTTTCTTTATTCAGTAAACATCTAGTTACAAGTTTCACAAATTAAAAAAGTGGGGGAACTGATTGAAGAGGGGTCGGGGGGCCCACAGGCTGATCCAGCTTTTGTTCTGCTCCTCCCTTCTCCAATGCACATATCCTTCTATTTCTCCACAGATGCACCAAGGAGCAGCAGGGGAATCAAAGTCTCCGTCCCGGTGAGGGGACTGACAGGGGGTTCTAGCAGAATTCCCTCATATTCCTTTCACAGGGGACTAAACACAAACTTCAGAACCAGCCCAACCCAGCACAGAAAGAGTGGAAAGGATGGTAGAGGCAAGGTGGCAGCTCCTCATGCCCAGCACTACTGGCAGAAACAGAGCCAAGGGACAGCAAAGAGGGAATGGGCAATTAATGTGTTCCTTGCACATCAGTGAGATTCCCCATGCCCCACTGCAGCACCCAAATGGGGTGAAAAAGAGCAATGAAGAAGATTAGTTGCTTTGTTTTAATTCTTAAGTGGGAGGGAGGTTAATACTAAATTTGAGGAGGGTCCAAATGGTGCTTTGAAGGGGCTTCAGAGTTTCACTGTCTGTACCTGGGAGGAAAGGAAACAGAGGATATAAAAAGAGTAAGTGGTGCCTAGAAAGCAGAAGACAGATAAAGACATGTTTAAACCTGATATCTAGACTTCAAAAAAGGAGAAAATGTCCCTTTTCAAGCACTAGATCACATCCTAGTGAGCCCTATTCAAAGCACAGGACAGTAGACACCAGCGCTTACTTATATTTCAAACTGGATGGACAGCAAATGGTCTCCAAGTTCAATGCAATGACAATATAAACACTCCACAGCCTGCAGTCCTACATCACGTCATACTATTTTAGCCATCAATTAAGGCTGACACCATATGTCTTTTGTTCATGACAAAGCTAACTTAAACTGCTTCCATCTTCCTGTTCAGCCCAGCATTTTCTCAAAATTCACACCTGCTCTCTCAGAATGGGAAAACCCCTTTGCAACTGAAACTTCAAAATAATGTGAGATTAGTGAAAAGGAAAAAAAAACAAACCCTATGGCTAAAAGGCAACTACACAGCAGAAGACAAGGAAGGAACTTGTTAAGACTTACAAGAGCATGTACGTAAATTTGGGGGTGGCCTCACTGCACCCCCCTCAGGTCTGCTCCGAGTTCACCAGTCATACCGGCGGGACTGTCTGGAAGGGGAATCCTCAGGGCCCTGGATGGCGAGACGAGTTCCTTCGGCCCGCCGGCCAGTGCTGCCTTCGTGACGCCGGTACTCCAGGCCCCGCTGCGTCCGAAACCGGGACGTCTCTCGCCGCCACTCGTCGTCAAATGCGGCTGCGTCACCTGTGCAGGGAGACAAGCAGCTCAGGTGGGGAGGAGCAGGTGGGAAAGGGGCACCTGGCTTTGCTGGGAGGAGGGCACAGGCGCTACTCACTTTCATCCATGTTGATGTAGTCCTGCCTCTCCTCCTGGTCGCCTGTGCGATGGTTCCGGGACCGCTGCATGATGTGGGCCCTCTCCCTGATGTGGTGCCCAATCGACATCTGTTCCAAGCCACTGTCCGAGTCCCTTACGGTTCGTCTTGTCTCACGGATCTGGGGGCAGAATCCCACGTGGAATCAACATTTCCACTCCTTCTCCCAGCCCCCTAAGGCACTCTGATTCCCGCCTCCAGTATTTCAGCCAATTTGCACTGCCACCACTGCCAGGATGTCAGATGCAATGCTACAAAGAGGGAAGAACGGATTCTCCACTGCCAGCACTTCCCATTTCCTCCCAGGGGCCCTTGACACGGTTCAGTGAGTCACAAGAGCACAATGTGCTCCTCGAACTGCAGCTGACTGCGAAGCCGAAGTGCTGTAGGTGGCCACCCACAAAGCCACCAAACGAAGCCCACTCTCTCACAGCAAAGCCAGCAGCCTCCTCCTTACCCCACCAGGTGCTGAACGCATCTCTGAGGTCTCCTGATAGACTTTGGGCCCATCACCCAGGTTGGAATAAGAGATGACAGTTGAGGAGGTAAATGTCTGGCAGTTAGCACCACTTGTCATATGCTCCTGCAAGAAGGAATGGGGAATGGTGGAAAGAAGGGATGGGAGGGAAGAAGAGATGGCATTTAATTCTCTCTATACAATGAAATAAGAAGAAGCACAATAGGAAGAATATAATCCCCATGGGTCCATCTTTCTGGAGAATACATCTTCCTGTTAAATTAATACTTATTTCTTGTTAAACAAGTCCACCCCCGCACTTCCTTCCCCACCCCTCTCCTCTCCCTGCACTCAGTAACAAGCTCTGTCACTGTCTCCCAGCAATGAAGCAAAGCTTACAGCCTCTGCCACCTTGGCAGGTGTGGCTCAGTCCATCCCAAATAGCACAGTAAGAGACATTAGAGGGATGGCAGAAGCACCCTCGGCACTCCCCTCAATACAGAATGGTTCACAGAGGGCTCTTACCATGTTTCCAATCATGTCATTCATCATCCCAAACATATCTATAAAGCCACCTGCCTGATAAAAAGGAAAAGAGAACACAAAAGAAGTCACTCTGGGGAGAAACATGAGGAAACAACAACAAACTGTCTGCAAAAAAACCTGCTGCCTAAGAAGAACCTTGATTTTTTTCACGTTCTTTCAGTAGCGCAGAAAAAAAATCCCCAGAATTTGTGGTTGCTGTTCTCTCCATTCTCTCAAGTTGCATTGGCCAATGTTCTGGAAAAGGCTGTTCTTTTAGTTTGGATCCAACTGCTGATGCCCTGGGGTTTGTGAGCCTAGGGACTCAGAAAAATTAGGAGAAAAAATCTCAACATGTGCACAAACAGCGATCTTAAGAAAGTTTCCACTGACTGTTTTTCTTCTAGCATAACAACAGATTTGCTTATTTTCCCCTACAAACACCTGGTTTTCCATCCTGTAAACCTGAATGCTGCAGTAACACTCTGGGCCAGCAGGTCTCACAAGTTAATTGTGCAATATGTAAACAAAATTACAATGTCAGTTCAAACTTGCTGATTTCTTTTTTTTTTTGTTTCCTCGAGTAGCCTCTTGCTCTCATTTCCAGAGCAGTACTCACATGCAACGCTATTATGCTTTGAAGTCTATGTGTTTGTAGTCTTATTAATCCTCCTCTGAGCTACAAAAAATTCCAGGACGCTAAAGTCTCTTTCATTGAAGCAATTCTGCAGAGCAAGACAGTTAAAGTCCTGCTGGATCTGGAATAACCTATTTCCAGTGTATTATTTTGGTGGAAGATGGAGATTGGCACGCTCCGAGCGTGGTGTTCTCACGTACACACAGCCATTCTCATTCCAGCCCTGTTTACCTGAGGTATTTTGCCAGCTTCTCCAGCCACCACCACTGGCACAGGAAGTGCAATAATCCCCTCTGCCTACTGATGGCCAAGTCGTTTCCTTGCATCCTCACAGTTCCTCCATTACCTCCAGACCTGCAGCTTCTTTTCAGACATATGAGGTTATTAAGGGACTACCTGCTCTTCCCAGATATTAACTGTCCCAATTCCCATGAAATATTGTGCTATAACAGCTTTATGGCTTTTCTCTGGTCAAGGTGCAAATACAACTTCCCCATAGACACAGGGTTAGACTCCCTCTTCAAAAACAGCTCATGGACAGGATTATAACATTAGAGGGGAAACAAGGTAAAGGCCTGAAGTCATAAAGCAACTCAATGAGAGGTCCAAGAGAAACCAGATGCTTCCAGTTTCAGTTCAATACCCTCTTCCCTATTCCACTTACTATAAATCTAAAGCTCATCCTGGTCTCCTCAGACATTCCCATCCTTCCTGCCTGGTAGGATAACTGGTCATGCTCACAGATGGCTACATTTTAGCACTGGTTGCAGGCAGTGCTGATGAATCTCAGTATGGAGCCACTACTTGGAAAGCCTCTAATCTGACCCAGAAAAACAGAAAACTTACCATGCCGAGCATCCCAAAGGGTGAAACAGCTCCCGCCTGCCAGGAGAACAGAAAAGCAGAACAGAGAATGACTTTTCCACAGCCAAACACTAGATCCTCATCAGAACATGCTAATCCTTCTCAGAAACAGAACTGGGAACACTCAGGCTCTACAAACAGATCAAGAAAGGGCCCCACGGATTCCTGGGGTTTCAAGCCACGTCACCCGTAACAAAGCAGACATGAGGTGATGCTCCTACATTTCTCCCTGTGACATGAATTCACATCCTTTAGAAACAACACGTTTATTTCCTTCCTCCCGTCCAACCTAGAACGCAGTTGCATTCAACATCTTAATACAGATGGAATAAAGAGAAGGACCAGAACACCACTACCTAAGAGATTTATTCTGCACCCGCCACCTGTGTGGAGGTGAGGGAGGTGCCCAGCCCAGGAAGGGTGGGAGACAGAAGCTGACAGGGCAGTTTGAGAAATTCCAGCCTGTACTCAGCCCCTCTGTTACCTGCATCCTGCGGCCAGCCTGGCGAGCCCCAGGTGTGGTCCCATCCGTGATGCCAAGGAGTGGCCCGAACCCAAAACTCCCAGACAGCATGCGGTTCATGTGCTGCCGGTGGATGGCAAAAGGATCCCTTTTGGAGAGGTGGAGAGAGCAATGGTGAGGACAAAGCCCCATATAATCCACCCCTCCCATCTCTGAGTTTTTCTTACACAACTGTGCATTCATTTCCAATCCGAAAATTCTGAATCCTGAGAATTCTGTGTTCACTACGGTGATTACTGGGGCTGGAAGGGGCCTCTGGGTCCCATCACATTTCTTGTGCTAGAAGGTTTCATACCACAGAACCCCTCTCAGGTTAGTACCTGTCTGCTCAGAAGTAGGTTGGTGTTCTGCTTCCAGTACTGCTCTGGAGCTTGGCCAAGTATGGCCAAGGCCACTTCAGAACCTCACTACTCTAAAATCTTTTGTAGGGAGATGCACGAAGACCTTCCTGGCTGCAAAGTGAGGGCTACACTTAATGGCACCAGGGAGCAGGAGATCCTACACATCATCTTCTCACTCCTCCATATACACAGACACAAACAGTGAAATGCAAGACTGGAACCTCCAGAATGGACTGCACGGTCTGACATCCCTGGGCCCCCCAGGGATTGAGACCACATATAGCTTTTCCAGATTTGAGGGAGAAAGGGAAAAATAACTGGGATCCCTAACTGGTTTTTCCTTCTTTTGCAGCCTCCACTTTGAGGTCTGCATGCATTCACGCATGTTGGTGAAGCAAGAGGAGGAAAAGGAGGGTAAGGATAAACAGTCACGGAATACAGTGGGCACAGTAAGAAACTTCTGGGAAATACCATAGCTTTTTTCCTGCACATCTTATAGTCCGCAATTATCCCTCTTGAGCATTAATGACCTCTATAGCATAAACTGTTTCTGAGATCACAGAAGTACCCACTACAAACCAATACTTTTCTGTCTCTACTGGAAATGCTTCCCATAATAAAAGTTAGACTCATACCTGCCATGTTAATGAGAACACACTGTCATTCGGTGACTAACTGGGACTTCAAGGTCTCCTCTCCTGTTAATTTGCTCACAGCTGATAAAATTCTTGCTTACTACTGATTTCATAAGCAAAAACCGGACTATTCTTCTACATGCATAAATTTCACCAAATTTCTAGTAATGTTTTGTTTGACATAATCAAATTCTTCCTGTATTACAGTCTATTCCTTATCCACTTTGGCAAGGGCTGCTAACTTGGTGTCACTGCCAAAATTTATCAATAACATCCAATTTCTGTACTGAGGACGGAAACAAAAACATTCGGTGAAAGGAATCCTAGGGAGCTTTGTTAGATTTTAATACTCGTGTTTCAAAACTACTCGTTGTCTTCTCTTTACTTTGTTGCTCACAACTTGACAACTGCTTCAGCAGCCTTCTCCAGCTCCATTAATGACTTCCTGTGCAGAACAGCAACAAACACTGGACAGAGCAGCAGATTTTATCTATCTCAACTGCTACCCTACTTTGCATAAAAAAAAAAAAAAAATCCTTGCGCAAAAAAAGAGATTAGTTATTCCAGCCCTCTTCCTCTCAGACAGCTGCGATGCCTTTTGGCCTACTTTATTACGCTTTCCTCCAAGACTACGCTCCAATATCGCAGGAACGAGACCGACGCGATCCCTGTTATTCGCCGCGCTGCCCCTCGGGCGGATGTTTGTGTTTGTCCCTGGCCGGCCGCGCTGCAGCGGCGCCCCCCGGGCCCCGCCGGCCTCTGCCCGCCCGCTTAGACGCGGGGGCAGCGCACTCCTCCCCGGGGACGGTGCCTGCCGCAGCCCTCCCTCCTTCCCCCTCTCCCTGCCGCCGATCCCCCGGCAGGATGCCCACCCCGACTCACATGGCAAACATGGGGTCCTCCGGCTCGCCATCCCGCATCAGCCGGAACATGCTTCCCTCGCTCGGGGGCGGCTCTGCGGAGGGGAGAGGGCGGTGAGCGCAGCCGGGGTTGAGGGCGGGGAGGGGCGGAGCGGCGGAACCGGCCCCCCCCGCCAGCCCGGGCAGGTGATGGCAGCGCTTCCCCCCCGTCCCCGGTCCCGGCCCCCGCCGCGGCCCAGCCCCAACCCGGCCGTGCCTGCCGGTGTCGGCGGTCCCGGTTCGGCGCAGCCCGAGGACCCGGGCCGCTCACGCCTCCGCGCCCATCGCGCCCCGCACCGCGCTGCCTCCGCCCCGCCCGCGCCGCGCATGCGCTGCCGCCCCGCGGGAGGGCGCCGGCGAGGCGGGGCCGCGCGGCACAGCGCTCCCTGGCGCCCCCGCGGGCCGGCACCTCCCGCCAGGCGGCCCGGGAGAGGGAACGGGGGAGGCAACGGGAGGATGCCGTGATCGCAGAAGGACCGGGCAGGCCCCATCGCCCCACACAGCCTCCTCACCAGGGGCAGCGCGGGGACAGGCGCTGATCCCTGCTCTCTGCAGACCAGGGACAGGACCCACGGGAACGGCCTGAACCTGTGTCAGGGGAAGTCTAGGCTGTCTATCGGAAAAGGTTTTTCACCCAGGGAGCAGCTGCACATTGGAACAGGCCCAGGAAAGTAGCCACAGCACCAAGCCTGACAGAGTTGAAAATGTGTTTGGACAATACTCTCAGGCACGTGGTGTGACTCTTGCTAATGGTGCTGTGCAGGGCCAGGAACTGGACTCGATGATCCTGATGGGTCCCTTCCAAATCAGAATATTTTGTGAGCCTGTGGTAACCCCTGTGGCTCGCAGCCAGTTGGTTCCCGAACAGAGTCCACAGCCATGCCTGGCCACTGCAGAGGCAGCACTTACGCCAGGCTTCCCGCACGGCATGGGCATGTAGGAGGCACCCTCAGAGCTGCCTGTCTGTGCTGAGCACGTGGACAGCGTGTGCATGCAGGGCTCTGCTGGCAAAAGCAAGGAGGATACTTTGTAAGCCAGCTGTGGGTCGTCCCTGATCCTGGATAGTCACTGGGAATCACAGGCGAAGCGTAGGTACTTGTGTGCACCTACAGCAGTGGTGGGGAATCTCCAGAAAGCACGGGGATGACACCTCTGTCACCATCTCTGGGGAATGCTGGTTGCCTTCAGCTACAGTCAGCTCCACTAGATTACAGGGAAGGGAGCAGACTGACTCATCCCAGCTCCAGCCCAAGGCACGCTTCCTCAGTGGCGCTTCTGTTGCATCCGGCCCACCATGTGCATGAGCCAGACTGAACCTGTGCCAGAGGACTGGAAATAGCAGGTTGCAAGAAGTAGTTGAGAAATCGAGCTCCTGAGTTGTGGCAGGAGCCTTGTCCTTGGATTTCAGAGTCTGACGGAGGAAAATGGCCCAGAAGCATGCTTCATGTGTGGAATACATAGACGACTTGGCAATACTTCCTGCTACAGCAATCTCAAAACTGCTTGGTATTGAGAAAGAAGACCTCTCATGGGAGGCCCGTGCCTCTGTGTATGCAGAAGGCTCTTCAGAAGTCCCTTCTGTACACAGTAATTGCATTCTGCAGAGGCTGAAACAAAAACATCCACATTAGAGGAACTGTTGACAGCACAATGGTGCAGGATCATGAGGTGGACACAAGTTCTATGGGCAGGGCATGAGCTAAGCAAGGCCAAACCTCCCAGAGGGAGATTGTTCATAAGTGAGCTGCTGAAACAGCCTCCTGTCACCAGCTCAGAGCTCATCTCTGAAGTTCACACAAAGCCCTTGTTGGCGCTGCCTCAGCCTCTCTGATGCTGCTTCTGCAAACCTGAATCATCCTTCAGAGACCTCCAGTCTGGAAAGCCTTTCTTTCCTGTCTGGTGTGTTTTCCTTTTGCTTTGAGGCTCTCTTGGTGTTTGATTGGAGTGTGGAGTTGACCTCAAGTATCAGGATGCAAAGGGAGGTAAAGAGCTTCTAGGGCAGAAATGTAAACACCTCTTTGAGTTTTTTTCTTTTTTACGTTCTTCTTTACCCCAGACTGGGATAAAATAAATTGCTGTCCCTTTGATACTAATGATCCTCCCACACCTGCAATGTCCCAGAGATGGTAGGGCTCTCTCAGGTTTTCCAAATTATAAGTCAGGCATTGCTGCCTTCAAACACAGAAGAGAAAGGAATAGAAAAGAGTCTGGAACAAACACTGCTTTGCTTTATCTGTTCTTAATGCTGCTCCTCTGCAAGTGCAACCCAAGGGCTGAGCTTGTGAGACTGGGGGCTGAGGCTGTGGCTCTCCCTGGTATTTCTGCAGCCTTACAGGCAGTCCTTGCACCTGATGGACACCTTACCAAAGGCTGCATTTCCGGGGCCATTGCCAGTTCAGCAAACCTTGAGGGAGCCTTGCTTGCAGAGAGTCATGTTGGTGGCAAATGCTGCGTTAAATCCTGGAAGGAGGAATTGGAACGGCAACCTTTTTGTGGAATGTGGACAAGGCTACAGTTCTGAGGAATGCAGGATCTGTTGCTGCAGTATTCATAGGAGAGGTTTCTGCACAGCATTCACTGCGTTACGCCCGACGTGCTCCAAGGGGATGGCCCTTTGCTGGGTCATAATAACGAGCGACGTGGGGCTGTGAATGAAAAGCAAGGCTCCCATCTTGCTCCTCTCACACTCTCTATTCAGGCCGCTTCTCTTTTCACCATGAATAAAAACCATTATGTTTCTCCATTTCCTTTTTCTTTTTCTTTTCTTTTTCCTTTTTTTTATTGAGCTGCCCGGGTTGTGCTGGGGGCGGCGGGGAACGGGGGGGAAGGGGAGGGAGAAGGCACTCAGCAGGCGGCCCGGAGGAGGTGAGCGAAGGGCAGAACGCAGAGCGATGAACGGCGCTGCTGCTGCCGCCGGCTGCTGCCCGCGGCCCCCCGGCATCCGCGGCGCCGGCACGGCACGGCACGGCACGGCACGGCACGGCACGGCACGGCACGGCACGGCACGGCACGGCACGGCACGGCACGGCACGGATCGGCACGGCACGGGGAAAGCAAACTGAGCATCACGTGGTGAAGGTAAATAAAGGGCACGGTGAGAAACCATGCCTTGCTACCTGCTGCTGGCATGGACTGAGCATTTGGGCCAGGAAGGCAGAAACAGCTTCGTAACGCGTCCGAATGTTCCAGGGCCCCTGTGGATGCCTGGAAGACAAAGAAATCCTCGTTACCAGAAAAGTCAGAGCTACCACAGCCATTTCCTCATTGGTTCCCTTCATCTGTGCCTCTTACGTAATCCTCACCCAACAACTAACTGTGACCTCAGATGAAGGGCACTCCGAGTGAAGGACAGCTCTGATTTGATCCTCAAATGTGACAATTCATATTTGGGATGCTACAAGCAGCTTGTGGTGGCTGCAGTTTGTGTTGTGTGGCAGCGATTACTTTCAGAATATTTTGCTCGTGTTAAGAGTGTGTCTGTCACACTGTAAGTGAGAACCACGACCTCCATCTGTGCTGCGTTAGCAAAGAGAGGCTCACAAAAAATCACGATTGAAAACATCCCTCCCCTTTCCAGTCTTCTGACAGGCTATGTCACCCCTCGTCATTCCCTTCTACTCCTCTTGCTTCCTCTCCTTGTGTTACCTACCCTGCTCCACAGCCCTCCTCCAGGGCTTATTTCAATATGCTGCCTCTCAGGAAGC